ATGGATGGATGGGATGGAAATTGATAAGTATTTAGCAATTCTGATTCCATTATCGATATCACCTATTGATTCCTTATTGATTCATATTGGATTCTCATTGGCTCCTCATTGAGTCACCACCATCGCTAAGCACCATATCAAAGACATTACATTCATGCAAATTAATCATATGCGGTGGGTCAAATGTTTGTGCATGTTGGGAGTATTTCCCTTCTTCGTTCTGATCAGTTTTGTGATCATTACTCAAAAAGAAGTCATTATTATACATACTGCACTGAACACTTTTCTTAAAAGTAATGAAATACATAATTACTCGCAGGAGAAAGTAATTTGTTATACTACTTGTTACTTTACTTTTGCATTTCTCCATAAAATGATACGAAACACATTTTCTCATAATTATCATTTAATGATATAAACCTACATGATACAGTTTCACACACCAACACAAATACCTATCATATTGAGGACACATATATCATCTTTCTCTTAGTATTTTGTAATGAACAAAAAGCCGACAACACAAATATCAAAGATGAAAACCAGCACAAAGAGACTTTAGTGCAATCGCCATGGCGATTCTACTATAGAAACATAAACAGGTAGAACCTGAGGCTGCAGCCTGACTGCCCATCAATTTGTTGCCTAAATTCAGGGTCTGGCTGCTGGGCTGGGTCGGCATTCACTCAGCTTTAACTTCACTCTGGGTTCTTTACTAGCTTAGCGTTAGCATGCTGTCCCTGCAGATGCTTGAAAAGAGCCAAAGTTGGGTTAGCAACATAATGCAGTTTTTCTGTCCTGGATGCAGTTTCTGCTTTACTATCACACTCTTGTAGTTTTTCTGGAAAAACAAAACAAAACAAAAAACGAATGTTCATATCTCAAAAACTGTATCGCTGTACTGCATTTGATCAGCTCACTTTCTTTTAATGCAGTGCAGATTTAATGCAATCTATGTTGCTGTGGGTCAAAGAGTTTTGCCATTTCTATTCCATAGTGCTGAATGAATGAACATGATCCTAATGAGCTCTTTATAACTATCTAGCTATATCAAATAGCTTGGTGTGGCATCTTGTGTTGGCCCTATCTGCTTCCACTGCAGCAGATAAACTGTGGATGCATCCCATTCTTAAATGCCGTGGACGGGTTTCAAGAGAATACTTATTATGCTGTCAGTGGAGCTTGTGGCCGGGTTGAGCCATCCCATCGTTGTTCGAATCAGCTTCCTTGCTTATGTGGACAGGCCCGTGTGAGAGGATGCTCATTATGCTGTCAGTGTTGTTCTTTAGCGAGCAGCTCCACTGGGTCGAGTTGTTTCATTTCTCTTTGGATGAGCCCACACTCTTAAAGCTGGAGTGTTTATGTAATCCCAGCCTTGTTGCTGCTACATCTGTGGCAGCATCAGGTGTCCTTTCAAGCCTGACAGTAATACAGTCCACTGTTGTGCAGTACTTGCATCAGTGCAACTGCTTATTATGACCACACACGGTGCACTGCTGGGTGTCGGTTATTTAAGGACAAAGTTACCACATAACAGCAATTCATCACATTTCTTTGACAGCCTGGCTACATTAGAGAGCATCTTCAAAACTTCTCTGTTTTGCTTCCAGCCTGCATGAGTGCTTCCTAGTCAATTTGTCTTTTAAATGGAAGAAAAAAAGTCACAGGTTCTGTTTGCTCCATGAAAAATAAAGTACGCCTTTATCGCCTCATAGCCATAATCACATTCAGACAATGTGTTTGGATAATAAGTAGATGAATGATGTTTAAAGGGGATGAGGTGATTTACAGCTCAGTGTTCTATTTTATCCACCTAATTAAACCTGCTTTCCCACTGAGCGTTTTGTTTTCGCCGCTATTGTGTCATTTTTATTTTCATGCTGCCGCTTGTTATTGATGTCTTTGCTCCCTGTTTCAGCTGCTGATGTGTGTTAATTCCCCAAACGCTGGTAATTAATGGCACTCGTCAGAGTTACTGGCTGTGTACATTCATAATGTTGCTCTTCAAAGATGACCCCCTCCCCCCTCCAAAAGAGTGAAAACATTAGATTGCACAGTCAAAAGGGAAACTAAGAATGGCACTTTTTCATGAATTGTGTAACATTTTAATCTACGCGCTGTGATTCATAGCGTCATTTTACTGGATAAATCAGGGAGTAAGCCCTATTGCTTAATACTGATACTGACTAAGGTACAGCGGAAGGAAAGAAGATTAATGGGAAAAGGAAGTGATAATAGTTCCTGGAGCACCTGGTGTGGTCTTCTGCTGCTGTAGCCCATTTGCCTCAAGATCTGAAGCGTGATGTATTCAGAGATGCTCTTCTGCATACTTTGTTTAGAACAAGTGATTATTTCAGTTCCTGATCCCTTCCTATCAGCCTAAAGCAGTCTGGATGTTCTCCTCTGACTTCTTATGTCATCAAGACATTTTCACCCAGAGAGCTAACAGTCACTGGGTTTGTTCTTTTCCACAGATATGGTTGGTCTCAACCATATCTGAATGCCTACATACACTGAGTTGCTTGGCTGATGAGATATTTACATGAACATGCAGTTGAATAGGTGCAAATACTGTAAAATAAAGGAAAATCCTTCCATGGCCTGTGTAGCTTTCCTGCTGTTGGCACACATGCTGTCTATAGCAGGCTATGAACTCATCTCTTTTGTGCTGTAGTTTCTTTTAAACATCACAATAATGATTTTAAATAAACTAAACATCTGTTTGTAGTTAATATTATACACAAGATGAACTCACTGTTCGCTGACTTATTTTGGGATGCTGTGTAAAACTGACCGAACCAATAAAGCTGTCACAGGGATTAATCGTGGTGACCAGAGATGGGCAGTAACGCCTTACAAGTAACAAAGTACAGGCCAAGTAACAAAGTACAAGTTACAAGTAACGCGTTACTGTAATCCGATTACTTTTTTCAAGTAACGAGTAAAGTAAGGGATTACTATTGCAACTTTCCCGTAGGAACGCTGCGTCACTGCATTACTAAAACCGTGTCTCATGACAGTGACGTAAGCGAGTGCGACGTTCGTGACAACAGCTGTGTGCAGATCAACAGTGGATCACATATCGATTGTGGGAGAGAGTATGAGCGTGCAGCGTTTAAAGCGTGGAAGTACTGACCTTACTTTGAGTTTGATTCCATAAAAAGTGACAAAAACATTAGAGTCTGTTGTGCGTGGGAAGAAAACTTATTTTTACAGCGAAAAAACCCCTAAACTTCCAACAAGCACCGAGTAGCTACCACATAATGGGAAACTCGCGGATTCTTCCACTGACCGCGGCACACCTGCACCAGGGTAAACCTCCGCCTAACCCACTCCTGCTTTACAGGTGAAAATAGAGCAAAAGGACCGCTGAGTCTTTGACTTTATTTATTTTCTGCTGTGTTTTACTTGCATCTATTTGAAAGAGTGAGTGTAAACACAAAAAATATTTTATTTTATGTGCTGGAATGTGCAGAAAATAGGTTTAAATGTTAAACTAATTAGAGAATGTTGAATAAAATTTTTGCTTGATGCATAAACTTAAAAGATTAAAACTAATAAAACAAGTTTTAAAAAGAGACTTTTCCATTTGATTACATTTTGTATGATGGATTATGCAGAAAAAGTAGAATTGGGCTGAAAGAGCTATCGCTTTATCACCTATTCAGGTTGTAAATCGTGTTTTTAAAAAGTAACTGAGTAACTAAGTAATTAATTACTTTTGAAAACAAGTAATCAGTAAAGTAATGGGATTACTTTTTTGGGGAAGTAATCAGTAATTAGTTACTGATTACTTTTTTCAAGTAACTTGACCAACATTGGTGGCGACTGAAGAGGAAAAACTATGAGACAGATGTATGCCATGCTCCAGTTTGTTAGAGGAAGTTGGAGTTGCACTTCTCAGCTTACCGAAGTGTTCCTTTAACAAACAAGGGGAATCAAGAGCACTACCCCCTGATGAGAATTAAGCCTTTTGGTGCTGTGCAGATATCAGTTACATATGTGGTTTTGTGGCTATTGAACGTCTCCTTGGACACTATAAGGCAGCTTTATACACACACACACACACACACACACACACACACACACACACACACACACACACATATATATATATGTGTGTGTGTGTAATTTGAAGTGTATATGGTTTTAGAAGGCTCACTTCCAGGAGGGCAACTGCAGTCCTTCAACCCCTTCTGGAAAATCTACTGTTGCCACATATCTCTCCACCTAAGTATTAAACCAGCTACTGCGTGTGACAAGTTGACACATGTTATCTGCAGTTTGGGAAAGTCGTCCCGGAGTGGGAAGAACCAACTGAAACAGCAGACTGAGTTCGCACGGGGATTTCATTCTTCGGTACCAGTGGGTGCATTATTTTTCCTGATTAAAAAAAAGTACAGGCTTGTTTGTGTTATATATTAAAGTAAGAGGAGTGCCGAGCATTCCAGTGACATTAGAAACCTTGTTTCTTTAGTGCAGGCTGGGTTTTGCTTGGCCTGTACTTTGGTATTTGCCTAAAAATACTAAAGGTTTGAATCAGCACTCAGGAGCTGTTTTACTGTTTATTGTAATTTAAACAGAATTAGGACATATACATCTTTGCTGAGCACATACTTGGATATCAAATGAATCCTCTATTGAATGTAAAATACATAAAAACCCCATTAAACAAGTTAAAAATAAAAAAAGCTTAATGTACTTGGTAGTAAAGGAGGATAAGGACGGGTGATGATACCTGTGTGTCAGAATGGAGGTCTTACCTCGTGTCCACTTAGAGATATTCCCGTCAGCTGTCAATCATACTGCTCGCAGACCCCGCCTCCTACGGAAACACAGGGGGTTGTCTGACACGTGATTAATTCAGTATGGCGGATTTGTTGGATGACTGATTTTTTTTTAACGGCACCGACGGGTCCTAAAACCCTGCTCCGTGGATGCTGTTAAGCAGCGGGAGAACAGCAACAGCTCCCAGCCAGCACAGCTCGGTTCAGGTACTGTTTCTGTTCCGTGTTTGTGGAAAAATAAACAGTGTTTGCTTTGAACGTTTAAGGCACATGATTGAAAAAAAGTTAGCGATGTTTATCTCTGGGGTCGCTGCGCTTTGCGTCTCCCCGAAGTGTGCTGCAGTCGTGGGGCAACTCCACTTTACTCTGTTTCGTGTGGGTTTGTGGGTGTTTTACAGTCAGCTGAAGGAAGCCGTGAGTGTTGCGCAATAGATGCGTTGTTGCTCACTTTCAGCAGTTTGTAGTAGGTTATCAAAAACAGTGTGTTGTGCAACATTGTTGCTCAGCTTTCAGTTCGGTAGAGTCAGACTGCGGTGAGAAGCGGACTGTTATTAAAGCGTATTCACTGTTTTTGCCTCGTGTTGGCACACTGCCTTCATGATGAGTTTGAGGTTACAGCGAAGGGCTGCCAGATGTTCTGGGGAGGTTTCGGCGCAAACAGCCGCGCTTTCAGCGGAGCTGTTCGAGCTCACATAAAGTTTTGTTCTTGTAGTTAAACGCACCGCTTTGCTCCATAGTTCCTCAAGTAACACAGAGACAGCACGGGTGTGCGTGCGTGCGCGCGCGTGTGATGGAGGTTTCTGCTGAGGTCGGACCGCGCTGCCGCAGTTCTGGCTGTAAACTTTGTCTCGGTGAAGTGTAAACAGAGCGGAGCAGCAGCAGGGCTGTGCCTGTGCTCTGCTAAATCTCCTGTAAGCCTTCACTAGTGGAAACTATTCCCTCAGCATTACAAGCTCTGGAGCACTGCTGGCGCATGCTTGTAAACTCCAGGCCCCACGGGAACAAGGTCACAGCAGTCCACTAAAGAAATGTCTGAGTTGTCCTCCTAAAGGATGAGTCTGCCGAGAGCACAGGCCAGACTGGTGAAGATGTAAAACAGCATCATTGAATTATGGCAGGATCTCTTTCTACAGCCTGCTGCCTGTTATATTCTTACTCTTTAAGAGCTGATGTTCAGCAGTGTCTGTGACTGAGAACTCGTTAGGCATGTCTGATCTTCTGTAGCTTCAAAACGTCCTCATGTGGTCTCATTCAGTTGTTTGGTGATGACGGATGTCATTAAATCATGATCTCAATCCTTTGAAGGTAACAGCATAGTGAAGATGATGGTGTAAAAGAAATAAATGTTTGTGAGCCGAACGCTCGGGCTTCTGGCATCTCTGAACGATCAGCTCTAGACTGTTTTTCACTCTTGGCTTCTCGTGATGTCATGCAATCTCAGACACGCCGCACTGATTGTGAGCACAGCAGCTGCAAACTTGAACCTTCTGACTGAGACGAGCAGCCAACCAGAAGAAAGCTGATTTGGGGAGTGAGTTAAATGGGTTGTTAAGACAGTGGATAACCTGAGAGGTTACACCAAGGCCTACTGTAGGATAAAAAAAGGGTTATTTGAACGTTGGAAAAGTGACTTCTCTAAGGAGTTGAGTCCAAGTATTGAGCTGGAATAAGTGGGAGAATAAGATGGTTGGAGGATGGGTGTCCCCTTTAAGAAGCATATGCGAAGTCTTGTTGTACAAAACAAACTCTAAACATGCCTAATAAAACTCCACAGGGCTGGCAGCCTGTAATTATTCTTTGGCCACATGAAAAATTCCAGAGGAAGACCATATTATGGCATTTTGGATTGCAACGCAAAGCCGCCACAAAAAATGTTTTTGTTTGAAATAAATGGTTTTGCATTTGCACAAAGTTTTTCTTTGTGGCGATTACTGCCATTTTGCATTCTACATGCAAAGAGGAAGTGTTGACATGGTTGTAGTGCGTGGTAATGATTTCAGTTATTATTATCTAAGTCACTTTCTTGTTTTCTTTGTAATGATCATGGGGTGTGAAATATCTTGCAGTTCCTCTGGATTTTAGTCTTTGTAGACCAGTGATGATGATTTGTGTGGGTTATTGCAGAATGTGAGTGCGAAACCGAGTCCGACCCTTTTGCTTTCTGGCAAGGACGACCCTACAAGAGTTGATCGACCCACCCAAGACAGTTCTTGGATTTTGACCAGATGCTCTGTATCCATCTGTATCTGCATCTCCGTGATGGGGGTGTACAGTAAACTACAGGAGAAGCATAAATAATCTGGTCAGATTTCAAATGAAACACCTGTTGTATTGCTTGTATTGACTTTAAAAGACAAAAAGTCACCTGCACATTTGATTTTCCCCTTTCAACAGCTTTACGTGGACTAAGGACTTAAAGGATAACTGAGAGTTTTTAAATCACTGTAAATTAATTGTGAGTCCATCTAACAAAACATCTGCATGGCTTAAACACCTGCAGTAACTGTCTCCATTTTAGACTTTTGTGTTTGTGGAACTGAATTATTCCTAATTGTACTGTGCAATCTGGGATTTTGATGTGGGCAGCACAGTGGTGCAGTGGTAAGAACTGATGCCTCACAGCTGGTCAACCGGGGCCTTTCTGTGTGGGATTTGGGTGTTCTCCCTGTGCAATCCAAAGACATGTGCATGTGTTAGCTCTGCGATAGACCAGCGCCCTTCCCAGGGCGTAACTCGCCTCTTGCCCAATATCTGCTGGAGGGTGTTGGATCTTAGGCGTTAGTGTTTAAGAAAATAGGTTTTTTTTCTTGTAATATTTAAGCTAAATGAGACTTAATAGCACGATACAGACTGGAAGTCCCGCTATTGTTATTATGTCAGCCATATTATGTCCACTTTAAAGGAATCTGTTGCAGTTAGTGCCATGTGCAAAAGGCTGTAATATTAGGAAGTCTGCATTTTCAAGCAGGACTTTGGGTTTGACTGTAAAGAAAAAGAGAACTTCTGTCTGTCTCTAACACTGGGCTGATTGGGGTAAATGCAAAGTAACCAGTCTTTTCATCTTTTCATCAGGGAAAAAGCTTTTATAAGATGGCCTGCAAGTTGTGCTTTTGTTTGTTTGAGTATGAACCGAGAGTGTACCGTGAGATTGTTTTGTATTTCTATTAGGAGCTATTAGGCTGATTAAAATGCTGGTTTTGGGAAAGTACAAGGGAAAAGAGTTTTTTTTGGTTATTTTTCTTCAATCATCTAGTTGATTCAGCCTCTATTTTTTCCTGGAGTTTCCCAGACAAAAGTTGACTAACAAGACAGGTGATATGTCATGCTGATATCTTTTGGTCGTTACTCCAAACTCATGGTACTAAGTCACGTAATAAGAGAGGTTCAAAGTTATATTGGTCTTTAAACCAACCAAGCCTGAGGCAAAATTCATAAAGTACCAGAAGTGTAGGACAAGCATTTCACAGTGTGACTGCTGACTACCAACTGACCAATAGGAATGCAGTGTGAAATGATGCACTGATCAACGAGCGCTTGTGAAAGAGCCAAAACAAACTCAAACAGTATAGATGGAAGTAAAGCATGCAGAACAAAATAGTTGAGATTCCAACAAAGAAGAAAATCTTGTTGAGAAGCTTTGTTTGTATGATTTGTCCTCCAGCTGGTATCATCACTGCGCCAAGGAGGGTGTAGCACGGAAAGATATAGTGGATGTATAACAGCTGTACATCTTGGCCCGATTCAGTACTACGCATTAATATCATAGGGAGTACATGCATCAAACCTCTAAGTTCCATGTTGGCTTGTAGTATACTCAGAGGAGTACAGAAATCTCAAGATGTGTAGAATAGACTAGAATAGCCCTTTATTGTCATTGTACATGGACTATGAAAATGTAGGTGCTCCGCATCAACTGTGCTGGGATAAAATATAAATAGCAAACAGGAGAAATGTAGACAAAAATAGGTGAAAGGCGCACATAAGAGAAGTTGCAGTAAGTGACCTTAGACCAGCAAGCACACGGGCTACCTACATCATTACCTTACCAAAGTTCATGAGCACTTGTGTCCTAAGTTTGCCTCTTTTAATCTCTTTAATAAGCTCATTTATCTTGGTTCCATTGTGCTTTGTGAAATTCCGGGTCTGACTTTCCAATTTCCTTCTATTATTTAGCACAAGCTGGCGCTCAGAACGTTTGCTTGTTTGTGGACAGTTTGTGGACATTGTCACACTAATGGATTCTAATGGGTTCTATTAATGCGACTTTTGTGCTCGGAGACAAATAAAACCCAGCAATCCACAGTCACCCAGTAGGAATTTGTAAACTGGGAAGGTCGTTCCACCAGCTCACTGCCGTTCTGAATACTACTGTATCTTTGATTTCAGTCTGTATTCATTTATTCTTTTATTTTGTCCTTCTCTTGATTGCACAGTGTTTGAGAAGACACTAATATAGTTTGAATGACACTTGGGGAAATCGGCTGCACATGAATCCTTCAACTAAAGCAGCCAACCAGTCAACAGATGGTTACAGTACATTGTTTTTTCTCATTTGGCTTACTGTTATGCAAGTTTATAAAAAGAAAGGAAGCTGGATATTGGCCAGAAAAACAGCAAAAGTAAACAAGAGGAAGATTGAAGGCAGTAAAAAAAGGACTGTGAATTTTCAATGGCCAACTGTAAAGAAGCTCTCAGCCTCAATTGATGTGATTTGAAGCTTGATGAATCCTTGTGTTGACCCCCTTTGGGTGCTGTATGAGTTCATTGCTGTTGACTATTCTCCAACATTCAGCTCTATCCCCAGTTGGTGCCTCAAAACTCCAATAAAAAAAACCTGTTTAGCTCTTTTGTTCTTGTCCTGACTTTGAACCTCTAAAATCAGTTAGCATGTGGTTGGTATTTGGGACAGGCATCCCTGTTTGTTCACATGTTGTTTATGTTACACTGATTGGCTTTGTAAATGGCATTGGAGCTTTGGTTTCATACTCAAGCAGCATGGTCCAAATAGTAATTTGTCTATCAAACAAAAACTGCAGTTGACAGTTGCTTTTCAAATGAGTGTAGTTTAGATTTTAATTCCTCTTAATCACCATATGTTGGTTTTAGTCTCACTTCAATAACCTTCATTGTGCCATGTGTATTTAGAAAACTAGATGCAGATGGCAAAAGTTGCTTCTCGGTATCTGACAGTGTTAAAGTTGGCACATGCTAACCATTCAGTGTTTTCCACACGTAAACTTGCGCGGCTGTAGGTCTAACGGCCTCAGTATATTAGCAGTATATTTTTCATTATAATTTCTTTAGCTGTCTGTTGGAATGACACCATCACTTTACTAGTAGATGATCCCTTTGCGTTTTTTCTCATTCTTCTGCTGCTAGCCGCCTTGTTGCTGCCCTTAACAGTTTGGGTTTTCCGCACAGGTCGGACTGGCTGGCTGTTATAGTGGTCCTCAATGCCATTCACCTGCTTATGCACCAAGAGTCTTCTACATCTGTATTTACTTCAATATCACCATCTGGGACTGACGCTGGCAGTGGTGGTCTTTCTTCGTCAGCAGTTGTAACCTTTTTCTGTAACCATGACCTGGAGCACATGGACAACCGGTTCACCTGCTGCTGTGCCAGGCTTACTGATTTAAAGTCAGAGTTGGAGTTACTTGCATGAAGTATATTTGAATGAATGAATGAATGAATGAATTTAAGAAAGCAAGCATGCACACACAATGCTTGCAGACTACTCCCTCCCTCCACAACACCTCCTACCTCTGTTACGGTTGTCAAAAAAATAGATTCTCAGATACTAACTTGACTGATAATACTGCAAATTACTTTGTGATTATGTTATCATTTGCAGCAGTACCAATACAAATAACAGCATCTTGGCCTCCTCCAGTTGACACAAAACATCACACAGAGCAGTTGCAGACAGGTAGGTACACAGCTCCTCCCCATACCAGCAGCTGAAGTATTTGATGTCCACAACACTGAACAATTTTGAGAGGTCATGAACCATCATAAATGTTAACTTGGCCACCAAACAATAATTTTAGTTGCTTAACTATTAGGAGTTACAAACCCAGCCTCAGGGGATCACAAACTAGTGTACGCCTAGTGTTGGTGTTGGTCCCGTGCCTCCTTAATTGGGAGCGCTGCTTTAGGAATTGCATCTGGTATTAAAACCTTTGCCAAATCAAAGGTGGATCTTTCAGCTGAAGGTATTTTTAATTGATAGCAATGTTAGCCATCTGTTAAGTTATTAATTATGATGTTACAGACAGACAAAATTGATAACATTTGTCTCCTGGCTTAAAATTGTCATTAAGGTAGTGGGCTAAGAATGAAATCATAGCATTATTGTTCTTGCCTGTCTGTAACATTATAATGACCACTGTCATGTTTTAGTGTTTTGGTGCTCCCTAAGACAATCTTAAAATATTTGTCACATACATATTTTACAATTACTTTTTTGCACTATATGCTATATATAGTCCAATCAAAAATGGTGTTGTCACTGTTTGCACGATTCTAACATTTCTTTAAAAAACAAATGGCTGTATAAATGCTATAGAAGAATCCGCCCATTTACCATTTACAGTATCAGTGTGCCAATGTTTAGATTTTCTAAACCAGTAAGAACGTAGGGAAACGTGCAACCTGATAAAATCAGCACACATTGCTTATATTTTGATCCAGAAAACTTTCAGTATAGGTATGTTGATGTTAACCTTCCAGGAAAGACAGCTGTGCATGCTAGGACTTTTCTATTATTAGCAGAAGAGTGCTTTGTTACGTTCAGACTTGTTCATTAGTATAGATTGAAATTTCACTTTAATCAAAGAAAATGGATTTTGGCCCGAAAAGAAGACAAAGATTGAAAACAGCAAGAAGGATGCTGGGATTTTAATGGGCGGCTATACAGAAGCTCTCATCCTCAATTGATGTGATTTTGAGGTTTGATGAGTTCTTGTGGTCACCCAATGAACTCATGGCTGTGAATTATTCTCCCACAGTTCAGCCCCTTACACCCTGTTGGTGCCTCGCAACTCTAATAATAACCCGTATTAGCTCTTTGTGTTTTTCCAGGACCTCCTCCTGACTTGGAACCCGTCCTAGCGCTCTGAAATCGGCTATCAATAGGTTTGCAGTTTGGAAAGACATCCTTATTAGTGCCCATTTTGTTTTCCTTTCACTGATTGTGTCTATTAATAGCACAGCTGTGTTGGGTTAGAGCTTGGTACCTGTGATGGACAGGCCTGCACACTCAGCCATTGTGCAAATAGCCATTTTTTTTAATAGGCAAAAGAAAGACCATTTCAGGTAATCTGTCTGCTCTTGTGATGGGAATTTTGGTTCATATTCCCTTCCTAGTTGCATTAATATTCTCAAACTATTAATTTAAAAAAATAACTCAACATAAAAAGTTGCATCTGGTTGAGTCAACCATCAGCTGAGGATGCAGGAAAAGTGAATTTTCGGGCATTTAGCTGGTGTGCTTCACCCGCGTCGGGATATTTTATTTGACATTTAGATGAATTCCAGCATTTTGTGACGTTAACCCAGTAATAAAAACAGTGACTGAAGATGAGTCAGTACATGAACAGAAGTAATGCTAAAATGGTATGTTATTCAGAAATAAAACACTGTATTTTAACCACGACCGCCACCACTTTAGGCTTGAATGTTTAGTAATGATTTGCCTTCACCGTAGCTGCATTTAAAACATTTTAAAGTCGCTTAATTTAAAAGACTTTTAATGCAATATCCGTGATGTTATTTGAATTTGTGTAGAACTCCGGTACCAGGTCTCGAGGTTGGTCTCATGATTTTTATCTCCAGTCATTTCATTAACATGTACTCTGTTACTGTTTTGCATTTTGATGTGGAACATTGTGTGCTGTATTGAAGCTGATATGAAGGGAAAGGTGTCAGTAAAATGAGGACTTTAAAGAAAAGATGATTTAAAGAACTTCAAGTGGACGAGGCTGGTGTCATTGAATAGACTTCATCCAAATATCCACCCACTCCTGAACCAGAAACACTGTCAGAAGTGTCTTACCTGGACTGTTCCTCAGTAGTCTAGCTGCTCTTTTCAGATAAAAGTACATTTTGGAGTAAAGAGGCACAGAATCCAATGGATTTGAAGTCCAGCGTGACGTTTCTGTGATGCTTTGGGGTGTGATCTGCTGGAGTTGGCTGCTGTTGGTCAGCTGTGCTTCATCAAGTCCAAAGTCAGTGCAGCCTTCTACCACGAGATTGTGGAGCTCTTCATGCTTCCATCTGCTGATGAGCTTCATGGAAATCCTGATTTACTTTCCAGCAGGACTAAGCTCCTGTCCACTGTGCCAAAACTACTGTCAAAATAAGAATTAAGTCATTTCTGTGAAGGTGCACGCAGGCAGATATAATGCAAGACCTGTTTTAGGGTTTACGCACCCAAAAGTGATGGAGTACAGGTTCTAATTCTTATGACCACAATCTACCTTTTCAAAGCAATGACGGTTTCAGGCTTTTTGGAAGCAGTGGTGGTGCAGTGATTCAGCTGTTCTCGTAGGTCTTTGGCATGTACAATCTAAAACTATGAGATTTGAATCTTTTTTTGTTGTTGTTGAGTATTTTGGCTTTGAAAAGAGCAGTTTTGTTCTTAGTGTCTCGTTTAAATAAAGCAGGAAACCTCATCAGCTTCAGTAACAAATGCAATTTTAACATTCAGTTAACGAATGCCTCAAACTTTAGTTATCACTCACGTCAGGAGAAACTGCAGAAAGTGAGAGTCTGCATAGAGAGTTTTATCTAGGGCACACTTTATATACCTCAGCATCAAAGGACATTCTTATATAAACAGGACTGTCTCATTTGGTATATGTTTTGAAATTATATCAGCTGTACATTACCCAGCCCTTGTTTTATACCCTGAACTTCACAGTAGAGCTGGGCGATAGAACGATAACGATATGTATCGCGATATAACTTTTACTCGATAGAGAAATTAAACTATCGCGATAGACCTCGCCGCTCTTGTCCTCTTAAAAAAAAAAAAAAAGAACAGCCAATCCAAATTAAGTAGCGCAGAGCCGAACCAATCACAGCCGCAGCGTCACGTCACGTGACTTGTTACGTACAGCACAAGTGCCAAGCCGCACGTGTGTTTGTTTGGGAAGCAGCCAGCGGGTAATGGAGGAAATGAGTGTGCCGACTAGAAAAATCAACCGAGCGTGACCGAAGAGAAAACAGATGATGGTTCCAATGCCGGAGAGATTGTCGAACGGAAGAGCCATAGAAGTTCCGTAGTGTGAAGGTATTTCGGCTATTTCAAGTCTGACAAAAAACAGAGTAGCGTGCACTGTAAATTGTGCCGAAAGCAAGTCTGGAAATACAATAAACTGGTGCATGCGTCACACTGTGCGCCACGTTATTGTTTCGGTGAAATGAATTTCTACAATACTGTTACTGTTAATTCTACTCTCTGCAGTGTTTAAATGCTTACATATACACACAGTTACTGTCCGTCCACACATACGACTCGGTTCTGCTTCTATGCCCCAGCTTTGTTTACTTTTTCCCACCGAGGCTTCTAGACTTCTGATTGGCCAACATTTCTGCACGGTTAGGAATCTAGCGCCACCTGCTGCTTTGGCATGTTCATAGCAGTGTTTTCCTTCATTTCTGCCTTTATGTGTGGACGGGATTATTTTTTAAAACGAAAACGGAAAATCTCCGTTTTCAAAAATACCCGTGTACGTGTGGACGTAGCCTCAGTCTCTGACTGGAAGCGCTAATTCGTCATTCGGCTTTTGTCAGACTAAAGTAACTGTTAAAACTGTTTGAAAAGCTCAGCTATACAACAAGGAGAGATTGAGAATTTCCTTTTAGTTCTCAGTTTATTTGATATTGACAAAAGTTAGTCAGTTTTGTCTGTTCTTCTGTAAAACAAACTAAGATTTATTTTTAGAATTAATATTTTGTTTCTAAGTGGAATTGACAATTTAGTAGTCTGTTTCGTTTGTTCTATTTTGAAACTTAAACGCTTTAGCGGCTGCCTTTTGTGTAGTTTGCAATATTTGCCTTTATTTATCTGAAAAAGTCTCATGTTCCTTAAGTACATCTACCCTGTTGAACTTATTATGGGAAATAAATATTTAAATAAAAACAAGCTGCTGATTATTTCACATTTTACTTGTGAGCAACGGCACATTTAAATCTTACAAATATAGTTATTTGGCTTATATCGTGATAGATATCGTTATCGCCTGAAATGAAAAAATCATCGTGATATGAAAAAATCTTATATCGCCCAGCTCTACTTCACAGATGGACCGACCAGCTCCTGTCAGACACACTACAATATTCTACTTTTGTCTTGGTGGTAATAATAAAGCAAAAAGCTTCCTGTTGGGCCATCCACATCTATTTCAAGAATACTGAGCTGCTATCACACTGTAAAGACTCTACACCTCAGAAACATGTCAGTCCATGGCATACAAGGCACTAATCTCATCGCCAGCTGAATAATTCATAGTCAATTAGGGCTGAGAGGCTGAGGCGGTCTTCATGGAGCAAATGCATTTTCAATGATTCATTTCATGAGCTATGCAAGGGGTCTCTTAATTGTTGTTTACTGCTCACTATCCAACCACATGTTATTTTTATGCTATCGTGATTACTCCCGGCAGTGCTCAGAGTGCTTGGGAAATGAAGTCCATTAAGGGGTCCTGAGAGCTGTTTTCCTGTCAAGCGCCATGAAACGCTTCCAGATCCAAACTTCACTGCATGAGAATAATAAATCTTATCCAGACGAGTTAGCCGGTGAAAATGAGATGCTTGAAGAGATGCAGGTGATGTGTTTTATGGTGCCACAGTGCAGGAAAAAGAAATATCTGCAGTGTTGTACAAAGATCCATTTTTAATGGGATCCCCGTAGAGTAATTAAGATTCCAGGAGAAAAAAAATGAAGTCATGTGGAAGTAGCATCACAACTGACAACAGATCAGCTTTGCAATCTGCAACTGGCTGGAGTCGGTAAAGGCCTGTCTTTGAGCTCCATGGTGTATGTGTTTGGCAACAGAGAGAGCAGGAGGAGAAAATGCCTAAAGTCACTGCTGTCACACTATAACAGACTGTAAAAGCACATTGTGTGTGTACGTGTGTGTGTGTGTGTGTGTGCGCGTGCGCGTGTGTGTGAGACAACTCGTCTGACAAAAATAGGTGGTTTGAGCTGAGAATAGCTCCACTGCCCTCCAGTTGGCACCCTGGCGACTTTTTCTGACACCCCATGCCTCAGCAAATCCATCAACACCCATTTTCGGTGTCCCTCACGGTCATCCAAGTTTCACCAGTGTACATGTAACTAAACACACACCCTTATCAGGAATTCAGACTGACATCTAAACCTCTTCCATTGTTGTTTTGCCCCATGGCTTGAAAGATGCTATGAAGAGCACACTCAACTCAAAGAGTGGAAATACTGTGTTTTGACTTTTGTCATAGCAACACATTCATCTTTTTCTCAAAGTCACAAGTGGCAGTTATCCCATCAGTACTCTGACACTTTTTCCCCTCACATTTGACGGCAATTAATAATCTGGTTTCTCAGATTTTCTTCTAGACTTAAGGGACCGTTATGGTGTTTATGGTAATTCCTGATAGCTGAGGTAAGAGCCTGGAGACTGTTGGCAGGAATACGTTTCCATGAAGTTTTATTTTTCTGCGCAACAGAACTGAACGTAGGTATGTGACAGTAATTCAGTTTAGCAGCTTTAAAGAGCGAGCGAGTGTGTCTGTTTGAGAAAGAGAAGGGAGCGCAGACGCACTTTGCTGACTGATTGCAGCTCTCATTACCACATGTTTGTTTTCAGCTCTGCCGACACCTGTTAGACGTGACAGAGGTGAGTTTTAGTTTCTGCCGGTTAAAGTTGAAGAGCCAGAGGCCTCTCTGTGTGTTTGTTTGCGCACCGCTTGCAGTTTTGATTGCATAAGACACACAAACACCAGGCAGTATGAAAAGTTTTCTTCCCCTCTTTCTTCTGCTGTTGACTCAGAGGTGAGTCTAAGCCTTCATGAAGCCTCTGTTTGCATTTCATTTGGGGCTCTACTACAGCCTTTCATTTAGGCAGTGACTTTCCCAGGCCGACCATGCAAACTGTGGGAGCAAACACGGTAACAGTGTAACAGTAATAGATGTGATCAAATCTTAAAATGCTTGCAAAGGCGTGTGCCCCGGTAAGCTCTGATGCATAAATGTGAAAAATGCGGTGTATTATTGCTGCAGTGCTTAATCACCGATGTACACCTGCTCAATCTCTTTGCTGGGTGTGGCTCAGGCAGTGTTGTGATGACAGTTCTGATAGTGACTCGCATTACTCTGTAAACATGCTGTGATTTTAAGTAAAGCCAGATGGTTCAAATGAATCATTTTGATTTGATAAAAAAATAAACATTTTATACAACTTGCCGGTTTGCTTTCACTCCGTTCTCTTTCTTTTAGTCTCCGTTTTAAATTTGCTCGTGCACTGAAAGTTTGGAAGACCCACATGGACATGTTGTAGCCGCCTCCTGTCACTTGAGGGCAGTGTCAAAAATATGTGGACCAACCCGCCCTGTGGGCTACTCTTGTTGCTGTTTGCTGTGTTGTTGGTCCTTTGGTTTAGCCCCTGCTGTGGAGAAGAGATGCCAAAATATACAACAGAGTGTTAAAAATGAAAACGAATGTCCAGTCTGCCTTTTTTGTACTTTTTCCCTCTTCGTAGTTAGCCCCACTGTTGCTCCCTTGGCTGTTCAACCATCAGCATTGGAGAACATCAGTCCTGTAAGCCCACAAGCTGTTGTGGAAGTTCATCTTCACAGCCCCTGCATAGACTGAATTCCCGCTCCTGCTTTTCTCCACCAAATCCAAGCTGTTTAACACCTGCACTGCTGCCCTGAACTTTTCTCTGTATAACTGAGCCGAGTTTTATGTCAAAATGAAAATCTCCAAGCCAGTTGGATTGAATATTAAAGAGTATTTACTGAAGCAGCTCCCCAGAGCAAAGGCTGCGTGATGTCCGATTGTGAGAATGGAGAGGGTATTTGTCCGGGAAATTCTCTGCAAGCCATGTGTGTTGCCTGCCGAACACACTCTCACCTAAACTGAACTCTGTGTTTCCAGCATTGTTGCAGACCGTCTCCTGCTGTGTGCTGCATGTGAGAAAGTGCGACTCAGGACCGTGTCCTAACTTGATTCTTGCCACATTTTCTTCACCTTATTTCTCACTTTTAGCAACAATTGTAATTGTAAGACTGTTCATAACAGATTTACAACAATTAGGAAGTTGCTGTTGAACATTAAACACTTGGCTTTGTTTTGTAACAGCAATAGCAGAAATTGCAGTGCAGTTTATTTTCTAATTGTCAGTGGTTTTCACCAACTATGTGTCAGAATGTCCTGGACAGTTTTGTGCAAGAGACTTAATTGGGGCTGAAGAGAGGCAGAAACTTTGAACTGGGGTCATCAGTTCTTTGAAAGCTGGTTGGCATGCAGGGCTGTCTGTGCTTTGTTGCCTGTGCAGGGAGGAATAAATGAATGGCAAAAACCATAAACGTGTTTGTTTTAAGTTTGTTTAAAAATTTGGAACATATTGCAGTGATAAATGAGCGCCTGCATGAAATCCCCCGCTTTTTTTGTATCTCCTCCTCACAGGCTGTTTGGTGAAGCAGTCCAACGAGGTCTTCTTCTGTGGCACAGTGTGATGAATCCATGTTCCTCTTTGGTCGAGCTGGGTAGCGAACGATGGTGACCATGACAGAGGCGCACTGACGCCCTCGCTCCTCTCTTTCCACATCAAGTCTGCACGAGCAACAGCAGCCATAACAATGAGCTCTCACAGTTGCCAAGGTAAGAAATAAGAAATGTAAAATTTAAACACGGCAGTTTATTTTGAATAGATTTATAGCTGCTGTGTTATGGGAAAAGTATATATTCTTTTCCTCCTTAGCACAGGTCTGGATTTTCTATTTTACTTAACTGGACAAAAGGTCCATTGTGTCCTCACTTCCCATCAAGCTCTGCTTGTGTTGGTCATGTTCAGCAAATTGATTTCACAGGCATTTATTAATTGTTGCAGTACTAAAGATTCTGTGTGACACAATGTAGCTTGCTGGCATCACCTTCTATTCTTTTGAAAAGTGTTTGGAGAAATGGTTTAGTCCCTGCCAAAAGGCTTTTCAAAGGGGTTTGCGTCAGAGGGGATTCATGTCGTCACATTACGGGGAAAACTGGCACAGGCCAAAGATATTTACTGATTTCTTTCTTGGTCTTCTTCCTCTTTTTTCTTTTTCTTAAATACGCTGCGTTATGCAAGTGATCGTTGGAGTGGGCCGTATTTTCCTGTTTCATTTCCTTTTTATTTTGGTCATTTCTGTTCCCTGCTCATGCTCAGAATATTTAACTTAGCAGTTTTGGTTTTTTTCACATAATAAATCTGAATTGATGACGTTTCTCCAGTGTTTAGTTAAAGGAAGAGTTGTATTCGTCGCATGTTTTTCATTTCATTTGGGGAGGTGGAATTTTTACGTCACGGCTAACAATCTGCTGATGGACAAATCTTTTGAAAAACAAGTGTCAGCTGTTATGAAATGAAACAAAAAATAGGTGAGGGGTGATTGTGTTTGCATTAGGCCAGAGCATTCATCCAGTGCCAGACGTTCCTTCTCTTTGGGGAGCTCAGAAATTAAGCTCTCGTTGCTCAGTTTCACTTCATGTTAGCAGTTCATTTTCTCCTTGTCGTCCTTCAGTTTGTGCAGTTCTGGTAAAGCCTTTTTCCACGTATGACAGATCATCATTTCCTATTTTTTCAGACCACCACTTAGAGGACTAAAGAGCCTTTTGTCTGACTTAAACTTGGGTGGCAAAGGCTGGCATGTTGACATGCTACTTGGCATTTTGGAACTGGGTTTATGGCCTTGGAGGCAGAGCTAGAACACACACACAGAAAAACTCTCTTATCCCTGCAAGACCTTCCCCTTCTGTCTACCCCCCTCTCCCTGCCCTCGTCTCCTCTCTCCAGCAGCAGTAATCGGTGGCAGTCCTGGCTGAGGGGGATCTTGCGTCAATAAATCGTCATGCATAGCGACTCGCCGGCCTGGAACACAAACAGAGAGAGGGGCCGTCTGGTGCTGGAGGCCTTGTATAGCTGGTTAAAAAAGCTTTGAGACCTCTAGAGTCTAACCAGAAAAAATCCTGGATGTTGTATGCAGTTGGGTCAGAGTGTATTGTGCAGTCTCAGTCTTGTTCTTGCCTCTTGGACTGGCCCCAGCCTCCTCTTCCGTGATGATATGGATGCTGCTGTTTAGTACTTATGCTTTATGTTTGCAGTCTGGACAGAATGTGTAAACAAAGCAGCCACAAACTTTGACAAAGTGAGACCAAGAAAACTCCCCGCTGGATTTTTTTCTTGCCTTGAAACCATGAAATGCTGGCGGCATCTTAACGTGTCTGCTTCATGTCCGCAAAAGCACCTTAGTCACTTTAACGTAGTAGGTGTGATGACATTCTTGACTAACATATCACTTTCAACATGACAACCACTTGCTTTAAAGTAACTGATAGTTGGAACTCTGAAGATCGCTTTTTATGGTGTGGAGCTTCAGTGCTAATCAGCAGTGAGGCTTTAAGAGCCTTTAACCAGTTGGGGGAGATAAAATGATCGCAGCGTTGTTTAACAGACCATTCTCATGGTTAAAGGTGAGGTTGTTGCTGTTGTCTTAGGCTTAGTTGTGAGTAAAATAATCACTCGGCCCCAAATTTGAGAACCAGCAGCCTTACTGATAATTACACACGTGATCATTTTGGAGACTTCCACTAACCTCATACAACAGTCACCTGTACATAATAACATTTTACATCTAACATTTCATTTCTAATTTACTGCAGACATTGGCTTAAATTGTCGAGAAGGTAGAGACGTGTTTACGTCTCCTGCTACTCTGGCTTTCTCCCACAGTGCAAAGATATGCATGGGTTGGGTTAACTGCGAATTCTAAATTGCTAATTATTTAAATCTGTAGGTGTGAACGTGAGTCCGTCTCGCTTCCTGTGACGACGTAATAAAGTGAATCAAAAGCAGACCCACACTTCCTTTCTGTGACACACACAAACACACACAAAATAAAAGAAGTGATCACAATAAAGGAATCGCACCTCCTCGGTCTTTTTTTAATTTAGACTGTTGGTTTATGGCAGATGGCTGTGAATTATTCATGTTTTTGGGATGACCACAGCCATGTGTAGATTTTATCCCAGAGATTATTCAGTATCAGGGAGGAAGGACGGCACAATAAGCGCCTCATAAATGATGCTGGAGTTGAAACCAGATAAGACTGTTTTGTTTTGTTTTCTCTACTGATCGAGGCAGTGCGTTCTTCATGATCTTAATGGGGTTTTTTTCCCTTAGCTCTCGTCAATTTTGTCTGGTTCTAGCATTTCAGTAGTGGTGCTAATGTCGCAGTTTTAAACTAAAAATGCAGGGTTTCATTCTGTAGTCTTTCCTGGAGGGTCTGTTTCCTGTCAGAATATGAGATACGTGTTTAGGCCTTTGGGGTCAGCTCATTCCTCTAACAAAATTTAAGCATTAAGTATTAGATTTAAAGGTAATCAAAGGCAGCTGCTCTGCAGTTTACGCTCCTGCATTTGAAATGGGAGTAATTTTTAATTCTTTCACTTGCCCTTCCTTCTCCTCTGTCACTCTAATTTCTCAGTCTGTCTCGTTTTCTCTCTGGCTCCAGGTTTTAATCAGAAATTGTAATAAAGACTCTCAGTGGGAGCTATCAAAAGCTTGCAGTGGTGGATTAGAAGAGAGTGGCTAGCCTGGGCCAGGCCACTGCAAGTGAAGCATAATCTTCAAAAAGGGAGCTTAACACCTGCCGGTCCACGCCGATGATTCCTCATTTACAGAGGCCGGTGTCGCTGTATCGGAGAAGGCTCTGGTGTTAATTGATGGTTTAAGTCTGAACGTTTTGAAAGTTGTCTAAAGATGACTGAAGTCGACAGAGTCGAGAGGCAGAGTGAATTAAGCAGGAGCTTAATCAGAGGAAGTTATCAGGGAAGTCGAACACAGAGCGAGGTGGTTCAATTCATCTGGGCTTGATTGCAGCCGTGCACAGAGCAGCTACTGCTATCTAGTAAGAGCTGGAGGAGCACAACGGTACTCTCTCCTATCCGAGCCTGATTGCTGCATTCAAATCGCGCAGCGCGGTTATTGTTCTAATTTATCCTTGGCTCTGCAGAATATTTCTCAATGGAGTGATGGATTGGAATGAGAGCTGAACCGGACTAAACAGAAGCATTTTTAGGAGAACAATGGGAGCTGCTGTGGAGAAATAAGATTACTGCTTCATGATTGTCTTCCCCTCTACAGTTTTCCAGACTATTCCATTCAAGTAGTTTCATTGTCAGATGAAACAAGCGTGCGGTGCAGCCTTCAGAAGAATTTATTAAGCATTCAGAGCTTTGCTGCTGCCGCTGCAGGAACAAGAAGCTCGGTACTGAATTGCGGTTTTGTGTTTTTTGTTATGCATAGTGTTCTTTCACGTAATTAAAGATCATTTCATAATTAGATTATTTTTAGGGCTGTTTTTGGTAGCAGTGACAATGTGGTAATGGATTTTTAACGTCCTCTCATACCCGGCCTTTTGTGTTGATTTTTTTTCTTTTCTTATTTAATCTTTCAGCAGCCGTGCTAGTAAACGAGGCTGTCCTGAAACTTAATACTTGCTGCATGTGACGTTGCTTTGTGGGGAAAAGAAATGAAATGACAGCATGAGCTGACCTTGTATGTAGTTATGGGGTTTTTCCCAGATGTCCGGTCTGGCATAAGTAGTGAAATGAAGAAAATGATTGACCTCTAAGATTAACGCGTAAGGCTTCACATCTAGAAGTGAAATGCAAGAGGGCCCCATTGTCTTTAAGACCTCTGCCCAGCAGAAAGCTCTGAAAAGAATATCTGTGTACTGCTGTATTTCCCATCTGGCTGTGGGATGAAGTCCGCTGAGTTCAGCAGGGGACAGCCGAGAAGAGGGAGGTGGGTCAGGTGGGTCTCTGAGGATGTAATCCTCCTGCTTCTATGAACAAAACAAAATCAAAAGTTCCAGCAGTTACACAATCCCTTTTAGGAAGGACTCGGTGCACCCTGGATCTCTCGGGGCAGAATGAACTTTTCCAGGCATTAATCCGAGGATAAGCCCCGAGTCCCTTTAACTCTGTGTGCCACGGCGGGCTAAAAATGCATGAAATACCCCACGGAGCCGCCACGCTCGCTATGATTGGCATTCCCCTGCAGATTTGTACTTGTGGCACCAATTTGGTGGTTTGAAAAAGCAGGTCTTGCCTTGCAGGAAAGTTGCTTTAAAAATAGAAACTGCGTGTTTCAGAAACAGTTGGGTGGTTTTGCAGCGACTCAGTTCCATAGATTAAGATTAACTGATAAGCAGTCATCCACTCAGACCACAGTCTAAACACTCTTATCTCAACTCTGCCTCTTAAGGTTTTAATGCAGGTCTGATAAAACTGACATTTAACAAGGTTTCTATTTGCTTTGCTGATTAATGTCATGGATGATGAATAAACTTTTAGAAATGACTAATTCATTTAGCAGAGGAAGGTTTATTTTTAGATTGAAATGTTTATTTTAATACTAAACCGATATTTAGAGACTGTCGCTGATATTAGAATACTCTCATACTTTTGTAAACTTGTTTGTAATAGTCTTGGTTTATCTAATGGAGCTTTTATTTTATTTTTAGTGGATCAATTATGATTTTTTTCCCCCAGAAATATACTCTATTACAGTTATGCATATCAAACATGGTCAAGATATGTACGAGCAATCTCAGGGAGCT